AATAAAAAGCTTGAACTACTTCAGTTGGTGTGCAATGAATCTAAAATATATGAAAGTTTAATGTTTATCAGTACAATACAGAAAATAATGAACTTTATCACAATATGCTATTTTTTGAGAAGGACCTGTACATCAACATATCAATTAAATGTTTAATTCAGTTACATCAAGGCAAAACAAAAACATAGATCCGTATCGTCATCTGTTGGGGAGGAATTGTGCTGAAGGACCTGGAGAGTCTCGAGCCACAGTGTTCGTCTCGCGACATTGGAGCCTCCAGGCTTCTGGGCGCGGACCTTGACCGCCCCTCGGTTCATCTTCGCCAGCTTCAAAAAGCGGCGACGACCTGCCATGAGGCCACCCTGGGGGAGGGCGACAGTCTGGTGCCCAGGGAGGCCAACATGCGTCACCACTTCCCAATGCTGGCGCAGTGAAGGGGGAAATGTAGTCCGTGCTGTGCTGCAGCAACATGGACCGTTGTTGCTGCCTCCCCAGGCCAGCGTTACGGAGGGGGAAAGGCGAAGCTGCTCGCCTCCTCGGTCATCGATCATGGCCGCGCGCTATTGTTCAGCAGTGATTTGTGCTAAATGACAAATTATGTTCATGTCAAACAGCGACACTAAACATCACTTACTTCGCCATCATTTGCAGTTTTGTGATGAACAGTATGGACATAAGTTACCTTCACTTGAAAGTCCTTGGGCAAATCCTGTTGTGTGCTCGTAGAAGTTTTCAAAGTCCATCGTAAAATTAATTGCACAAACTACAACTTTCTTGGGCAATATTGCTAGAACATTTCCATCAAAACGCATCTCTGTTCTCTATGACTGTAGTAAAAACAGCAGAAGTAATGTGGTCGTTCTGTGAAGAAGTGGGCAGAGTCTCGGCTTGGGTTACCAGGTGAGGGGCTGGGCTTGCCTTGGTGCTCCTAGGTCACCGTGATTGTGAAGTAACAATCCGCAAGTTTTTGAAACTGCTCGTTTGCTGACACTACCAAAGCATTTACATATTGTCAAAAAACAGGAGTATTTTTTGGTACTTGGACTGTTTCTGGAAGCAGTACAGACCCAAATTGAAGCATAAAACATGTAAAAAAGTGAATTTTGCATAATAGGTCCCCTTTATTGAAATTGTTTTTATGGATTTTTTTGAAGAACCTCCATTTCCATAAAATGTTTATGTATCTGAAGTCAGTTATTCAATGATTAAATTTTATGAATAATTTAAACACATTAGAAAGATTGAAAACAAAAGATGTTAAAAGGTTTTCCCTTTAATTGAATGAGTACACAGTTCTGTTGCAATAAAGGATAATAAATCCTTGATTGTTGTCTACATAAACCTTCCATTTTTTTAATAAAATGTAAATAATTACAAATTTGTGTGGTAATTGTGCATTAAAAACATTCAGGAATAGGTCCAGTTTTGAAAATTAAAATTATTTATTATCACAGTTAACAGACAATTTATAAGGGTGGTCTTACACCAGGGGTTAGATCTAAGGCCTTTCTTGTTTGCACTGACAGATAGTCAAGCAGGATTCCTCATGGTTTTTCACCTAATGTGTAATAAATAAGAACAAACACAAACAATTTTAGTATTGGAAACTAGCCTTAGTTTTTCTGGATGGGTTCTTCTTTAGTGAAACGTTTCGTCTCTCCTCCAAGAGACTTCTTCAGTCTGATGAGTTTCAGGTGAACTCAGCCTTATAAGCCCTGCCTCCACATGGACAAACAGCTTAGTCACATGCAAAAGAGGGCCATTGCCTAACAATAGGCTTGATCAGCTCTATTGTTCATAGAGGGTCATGTGCCCCATCACCTGACTATCGTTGGGGCCCTGATTCACACCTTTTGCTCACAGGGGGCTGAGTCATACTTGCAATAACAGCATTGTAGGAGGAGAACTGGACACGAAGGCCTCCACTTCTGTTTAATGGTGGACGGTTTTTCTTCACAAAAATGGCTTCTTTTACTCCTCTCTCAAACCAACGTTCCTCTCTATCAAGGATGAGAACATCTTCATCCCTGAAAGAGTGACGGCTGGCCTGTAGATGAGTGTAAACTGCAGAGTCCTGGCCTGTAGATGAGTGTAAACTGCAGAGACCTGGCCTGACGATGCAGCTCATAGAGACGTTTATTCTCTAAACATGACGTCCCAGTGACCCCCAAAACACGTTACGACAAAGATTAGTTCACCCCAACGATCCAGTTCCCCGGCAAAAACAGAGTGATATAGTATATGCTGTTAAGTGTCAGGAGGACTGTGATCAGTTATACATTGGGGAAACAAAACAGCCACTATTTAAAAGAATGAGCTAGCACAGACGAGCTACATCGTCGGGTCAGGACTCTGCAGTTTACACTCATTTACAGGCCAGCGGTCACTCTTTCAGGGATGAAGATGTTCTCATCCTTGATAGAGAGGAACTTTGGTTTGAGAGGAGTAAAGGAAGCCATCGTTGTGAAGAAAAACCGTCCACCATTAAACAGAGGTGGAGGCCTTCATGTCCAGTTGTCCCCCTCCTACAATGCTGTTATTGCAAGGATGACTCAGCCAACTGAGTGAAACCAACCCCTCCCAAAAAATGAACCAGAGGAAAAAAAAAGGCAAAGAGGATGAGTGGTTAGTGCTTCTTTTGTGCGGGTTTGTGCACTTGAAATTGTTGTTTGTGCTGTTATGGTTTTTTTTTATATATTAAAGATTATTTGTAAGTGTCATTCAGGGATCTCTATCCCACCCTCTCCCTCCAAAATGAACCAAACTAGTCGAATTTTGTAGTGCTTTGTTTGAGCAGGTTTGTGCCGTTGAAACGGCTGTTTGTGCTGCTATAGTTTGTGAGATATTACACGATATTGTTTTGGAAGATCACTTGACTTGGCCTGAATTGTTTACGTCTGTGACAACAGATTTCACCACCCGCTGACTGTCTAGCACGTTCGTCACAGACACGTGATGGTCCGAAATTATAACTTGTAATAAATCATAAATTATAGCAGCACAAACAGCTGTTTCAACAGCAAAAACCTGCTCAAACAAAGCACTAAAAAATTTGACAAGGTTGGCTCATTTTTGGTTCATTTTGGAGCGAGCGGGTGGGATGGTGACCCCTGAATGAACCTTGCAAATAATCTTTAATATATAAAAAAACCGTAGCAGCACAAACAACAATTTCAAGTGCACAAACGAAGCACTAACCACTAAGCCTATTTGCCTTTTTTTTTCTGTGGTTCATTTTTTGGGAGGGGTTGGTTTCACTCAGCTCTCAGCCCCCTGTGAGCAAAAGGTGTGAATCAGGGCCCCAACGTTAGTCAGGTGATGGGGCACATGACCCTCTATGAACAATTGAGCTAACCAAGCCTATTGTTAGGCGATGGCCCTCTTTTGCATGTGACTGACCTGTTTGTCCACCATGTGGAGGCAGTGCTTATAAGGCTGAGTTCACCTGAAACTCAAACTGAAGAAGTCTCTTGGTGAGATGAAACGTTTCACTAAAGAAGAACCCAACCCATCCAGAGGACCTACTTATTTTTTTCTTTTTGATTTTTTTTCTACCTGGATTATTAAGATGCATCAGGACATAGCCTTAGTTTTCATTATACTTGTCTCTCTTAAGGTTGTCAAGTTAGATTAAGGCCCTTAACTCATCTGGAAAAATCTGAAAGACAACATACTTCAGGTTTAGGGAATATTATAATATCTACAAACAAATCACTAAATAAGCTACAGAAAAAAAAATTAGTTCAGCTTTTGAGAAAAAGGTATGTAAAGTATGATGTACACTTATTTTATTTTTTACAATTACTATGAAATAAAAAAAATTGAACGCTTACTAATTCATTAACGAAAACCCAAATAAAAGAAGTTCTGTTTTTTCTTGATGACCTGTTGAATATTAATCTAGACATTATGCAACATTTTATACAATTGTTTTCAGATCTGGTACCTAATATTTTAATGTCTTAGATTGTTCTAAAGTTTAGAGGGCACTAAAACTTTGTCTTTTGCTGCTCTTTCTAGGAACCATGGGAAAACCACTACCCAACTGTGTTTGGGAACCAAAATGGTGAACAGATTTGCCATGTACAACTGAGGGACTGGTTTCTGCCCAGTGAAGGTCAAATGTTGGAAAATTAATAGAAAAAGACTGTTCTTTAAAAGCACAGCACACGTCCACTCCTGATCCCCCCCTACCCTTCCTTTTTTAGCCAGTCGGATGGCTCAGAACACGATTCAGCAATGGAAGTCCACACTTCATTCAGTACTGTAACTATGAAGCAGCTCAAAGGGTAGGGTCTGCTGTGAGCTTGCCTCACTACCCTCCCACCACCCCATCAGCTCCACCTGAGAGCAGAATCCCACAGTGAAGCGAACACCCACCCTCTTAACAACCCCCACGGCTTCAAAAGGCAGAAGATGATGCACATTGCGAAGACATTGGTTCATGTTTGATACATATACCTCTGAGGCGTCAAGCGTAAATCCAGTGGAGCAATGAATGGCGGAAAGGACTGTGAGGCGGGAGACGAGAGGCAGGCTGTCCCTGTCCAGGTCCCCATTGGCTGGCAGCGCAAGGCGGAGCATGGTGGATGTGTCCTGTATGTAAGGTAAGAAAATGTCATTCATCACAGCTTTACTCATGGAACATCTCATGGGGGAAAATCAGACAAATAGTTTTGTTTGTGTCTTTTTTCTTCTCTTCTTTTTTATTTTTGTGTTGTCAATAAACAGTATTTCTTGACAAAGTCCAAAAAAAATTTTAACGTCCTTTTTACTTTGTCAGAAGTGTTTTAAATCGAAACGAGTCAGTTGAGGTGGTTTGGGCATCTGATTAGGATGCCTCCTGGACACCTCCCTTTAGAGGTGTTTTGGGTATGTCCCACTGGTAGGAGGCTCTGGTGACAACCAAGGACTCATTAGAGCAGGGGTCACCGTGGGACTTTGAGTCCCCGCCTGACACGTTGTAAAAATAGCACTGATTGACTGATCGTCAAAGAAGCAGCACAAAAAAAGGAACCAAAAGTCACTTGTGTGCTCTTTTGAGCTATTATTAACAAAACACTTGCATCCAAATAATGTAAACGAGAGCTGCTGTTAAAGCCACATCTCATCTTAAACCCCCGTTAAACACACAACAAACTCAACAAATTCTCTGAGTCCTTCTGTCCGGCATCTGGGCACACACACTCAACCCCATTCCAACCCCCACCTTTCAGGAAATTAACCCTTAGGGCACAGATATTCAGTTTGTTTACCTCCTGAGTAGAGGGGAAACAAGCATTAAAATGTACAACATAGAACAAATTATTTACATGATTGTGAGAATTTTTTATTTTAAATATTTATTTATTTTTCTGTACTTGTTTTTTATATTGCATAACTGATATTTTGTATCTACAAGAGTTAGTAGGAATGATGAGCACAAAGGGCATGAGTTAATTATTAGGGATGTCCCGATACCACTTTTTCACTTCCGATACGATACCGATATTACAACTTTGCGAAATGTCCGATACCGATATTGACCGATACCGATATTGACCCGTTACTCTAACAGTGCAAGTCACACACTTTTACCTATTTTGTA